TTACTGATTTTAAGTATGAAAATGAAATGCAGAAGCAATGTGTAATGTTTTACCAATTGTCTTAAAGTTTAAAAATGTTTAAATAACTAACACTGTTACTAAATAATCTGTAATATTACATTAGTTACACAGATGAGAACAAGATTATATAATATTCTGATGGACTTCTTTTTTTTTTTTGCTTTTGTATGTACATGCTTGATTTTACAGTTGCTCCTACAAATGAGCTTTGGACTCTACACTTGGGGAATTGTTACAATAATAAACTGTTTTCCTAGAGTTTGTTATGGATTCTTGCGGGGGGTGTCAGGTGGGATGGGCATTCTGCTGTTTTAGTGAATACCATCAAAAAAGAACCTGGCCAGCAGATAAGGAACTTCCTAGGGCTGTTCCCTCCCCTAGATGGCTCTTTGCAGCTGGTATAAAAGGTACGATGGATTCTTTCTGGGAGAAGAGGCACATACATTTTCCACAGAAGTGTTGTTGGAACTGAGTACTATTTCCATGTTCCATATCCCAATGTCCATGCAGAAACTTTAGTATTCTTTAAAGAATTCAGGATCCTAGGAATCCCAGGATTTCTACCCAAATTGTTTGTGGGATTTCAAAATATTTTGGGCTACCAATTCAGGTTCCCCTAGCTTGTCCTCCTCCTGAGATGATCATTGAAAACTGGTGGGGGTTATAGTCCAAATACTTCTGGCAAAGGTTGCTTATGAACATGAACACTAAATGATTCCTGCCTCCTCTACTGCAGTGCCCTCACTCAGCTCAATCATCCTCTGCATTCAGGAAGGGTATTTTCCACAATGAAAACCCAGCTTCTGTGGGCTCCCAGAGTGCCATAGAATCTCTAGAGGTGAATTTGCAGCAGGCTTTCTGTGAGCCACTGTGACCCTGACTCACTAACAGGGAGCACCGTTCATTCATGTGCTGCATGCAGGGTGATGCTTTGCATTCTTTGACACAGAGCCGGCAAACTGCTTGATCACAGAAAATAACAGAATAATACCAAGAAAATGGAACCTTTAATAACACACAATATCAAAACAGAGAAGGAAAAATAGACAGTAATCTCTAACTGCATCCATAACTACGCAGCAGTCCTCCAGGAGATGGACTCATGATGTTGGCTCCTTGAAGTTGCAAACCCACTCCACCAGTTCCTGTTGTTGGCAACTGTGGAGAAATAAAAATACTAGATACGCTGGAAACTTGGACCACAGAGCAATACCACCTACTGGACACAAATCATGCTATACTCTGTGTAGATGCACACCCACATTGTGCACTGTATCTCAGCACCAGTAAGAGCACCAAAGAAGGAGCCTACTAAAGAGCAAGTGTGGGAAATGATGCATGCTTACCTCCATCAGAGCCATCTGCAGTCATCTGTTCAACCTGTGTACAAAGCCCCATTACAGGATTGTCTCCAATAAGGAGGATTTGTTCCACCATCACTGGTGCATCTGTGCCACTGGAAAGAGAATAAATCACATGCATCTTCCCCAAATCACTCCTCACTTTTCATGTACAGCAAAAAAAATGCATGTGTGATCTCTAATATTGCTTTGTGTGAGATGGGCAGCTATATAAATGTGATATACAAATAAAATAAATAAATATGACCCCCCCCCAGGCCTATGCTGTGGGGGCACTTATGATGGGATCCTTGAGGGCAGGAATAGAGCCACTGCAGCAGGACTGATGGGTAGTGTTTGGGGCAGTTACAACCCTTCAAAGAGAAAACAGTTTCCATGAGGACATGAGTCTCTACACAGCCTGACATACTAACCATCAAACTTCATGGCTTCATTCAGGTACCCAGCAGTATGAAGCTGGTGCCTATCCATGCAGGTGTCTGGAAGTTCCAGGTCATCCTCTTTTTACAGCAATGAGAATGAACTGAGGGCCGATACCCTGGCCAATAATTAGGGGGTACCAATATGTCCCTCTCTGTAAGGCTGCCCATATTTGTCTATGGGTGGAAACGTGAGTGACCGTGCCTTCTTTTGGCCCATCCACAGTCTGGATGAAGTCAGTTACTGGGGCATTGCGTTGACTCCCGGTATTGCGTCAGAACACAACAAATGCTACAGTGGTGGGAAAGCAACTCTTTCTTGATGTTAAAGACACCTATATATCCTGTTCCTTATTCAGCAGGCCATGACCTACTGGGGGCGGGGGGGGGGCTGTTCTACCGGAGATGTTAGTTGCTAGAACTGAAGGCAGGTGAAGTGTTAGCAATCTGTTGCTGACCCCTTTTTCCGGGGTTGTTGCACAAATGATATTTGGAACTGTGACATGGATTTTGCTCAAAGCCTCAGCAGAGGTTACAGCTAGTATAGCACACCAGCTGTAAGATATGGCTTTTGTAACTCACAGAATTTACCAACTTTCAGAATTTGCCAGACATTTAAAATAAAGCATCTACAGTAGGAATTAAAATATAAAATTCTAAATCATAAAACTGGGTGTCCCTCAGTCATCATCAGCTTTCCAGAAGAACTCAGTTTTCAAGAATTTTTGAAAACCTAAAACAGTAGGGGCTTTTTTGCAGTGTGGTATGAAGCATGCATGATGGGTGCTCTTCTGTGAAAAATCCCTGCAGGGACTGCACAAAAGGAACTTTTGGAATTTTTCAACAGACCACTGCATGTATTTTTAGGGTGAAGTAGGAGTGGAGATGCATTTTGTGTCCTTCTAGAGGCAAAGATACATACCACCAGATGTTCTGATGAGACAATTCTTCCTCATGAAACCACTGGCTGCAGTGAAACATCTACCATTGGTTCCTCTAATAACAGCCCAAGGAGCAAATGCTACTGGTAATTCTTGGGGCTGAAAAATGTTTTTAAACATATACAATTGGAAGATTTTGCAATCTCCTAGATTTCAAAACCCTGTAGGCTATCAAAGTCTGATGAGTTCTCCTTATCTTTAGAGTGCTGGTACTTCACCTGGCATTGCCACTGACCATCCATAGCTTTTATGGTAAGCAATTGATGGCCTCCCATTGCGTTCCTCCAACAGCCTGCAGAAGACAAGTCTTCAGATCCTTGAACTTGTTCTAGGCTGGTTACCCAACCCAGGAAAATTCTACTCTGCAGCTTCCATGTTGGTACAGGCAGCTGAGGAAAAGCAGTTGTTGGTGATGAGCATCTCTACCTTCTAGGATACTAACAGCATGACCTCCACCTTATTCTAATACACCCCAGCAAATGTAGTCATGCTTGCTTGGATGTGAGCATAGTGAAAGACAGTGGACAGAAGGTCATTCCATGTCAGAAATCAAAGCTCATTCATTGACCAGAGAACAGAGCCATCCCTGAAACCAGAGGCACAGCAACACCCAGCAGCAAGGAAATGGATTTTGACTCTCCAAGAAGAATTTCTTCTCTGTCCCAAAAAACCACTGCCCCCATTCAGTCCTGCACCCTGCAAATTCATCTGATTCTGGTGAATTTTATAGCTGGATTCCTTGCTGCTACCACAGCAGAGATTGTTAAGCCAATAATCCTGCTGTTTAAAAAAAAAAAAAAAATGCACAGAGTGCCCTGAGTCACCAAGCAATGACTCACCAAACATTTTGGATAGCAGTTGGTGGGTATTTTCTGTCACCTGGCAACGATGGGCAGGAGTAAAAATCTCAGCCAGGGAAATCACCAGTTGCTGCCTAGAGAGTGTTGCAAGGCACAGTGGTACTACATAGGAGAACAATGTGCCCAGGACCATTCCAGATGCACAGTACGGGCACGGCATGAGGGCAGCAGAATTTAGGTTGACACAATTTCCTCTTGGAAGGAAGCACAGCTCTTGTTCCCTTTTTGCCCACCACTAGTGTTAAAATCTTATATCTGAAAAGTTTTTGCCTGCCACGGCAGAATCGAGTGATGCAATATCCTTGTTGTGATTATGACATGGGTACATAAATTTGCAGAGGTATCTGTCAACCATCAACGGATACACCTAACCCTAATCCATGGGGGGGGGGGGGAGGGAGCATGAAACCACTGAAATAAGCAGATGTAATTGGTCCATGTGCAAAAGTCACTGGGGGACAAAAAGGTACAAGAGCCGAAAGCTCATTAAAACCTCCCATGGATGAGCTCTAAATCCTTCTGCGATATTTTTTCCATTTATCTCCATAATTCAAAGAATTAGATACTTTTATAAGAAACATGCAGTTTGACTCAGAAATAAGCCCCACTGGCTTCTCCGGGGCTTATTCTCAGGGAAATAACTGTATGCCTGCAGCCCTACTGCCCTTGTTTGCTTTTCCCTCATTATTAAAGCAAGTGATGCTCAGGGCATGGAGAAAAGTATTAAGAAACGTTAGGCACCAGCCTTTTCTCGGGGGCCAAAAATAGCTTTTAGCTCGCACCTAATAAAAAATACAGTCCTTTTTTGTAAGTGAAGCGTCCTCTCCCAAATTCTGACCGCACGAATGTGTTTACCGTCGCCTGCCGAGCTGCTACTTTTCCTTTCAGGCCTTCGCCTCCTTTCCGACAAGAGATGACCTAGAAAACGGCAACGATCAAGACTTCCCCTGATGTTTTGCTATGTCCCACTTTGCAAAAAGCCAAAGGCTCTTGCGGCTTCTACAGCCAGCAAGCGCTTGACGTACTATTCCAGCAAGAGCGGCGGAACAAGCGCTGCCCTCGGCGCGACCGGGTACAAATCTTGGACAGAGAAACCAACTTGCGTCACGTGTAGAAACTGACGTCAGGCGGGGCGGAACCGGGGTTGCTTGGGGTGGGGTGGAGCGGAGTCTGCTCTGGCCGCTTCTCTGCCAGCTGAGGTCGGCGCGCAGAGCTGAGCCGCAGCCGCTCCTGGTCCTAGGACGGTGGCAGCCGGGGAGTTGCGGGAAGCGGCTCCCGGCTTTCTTAATCGGGCGCCGCGCCTCGAGGGAAGGCAAGCGCGGCGCTGCGGGGCCTCGCTCTCCGGGGAGAAGGCGCCAGGTTCATCTCCCCTTCCCGCTTGAGCCTCTCGGCCGGCAGCTCTTGTGGATGGCTAAAGGGAAAGAGACGGGGATTCCCAGGCCTGAGACGCGGGCGGCGAGAGAAAAGGGTCAGCCGGCGCCGCCCCCCCCGCCCCCCCCCTCCTCGTCC